TGAACAACAAGTCTGTGGATATTCTGGTGATCACTGATCACTTCACAAAGTTAGTACATGCTTTCCCTTGTCAGGATCAAACTGCTAAAAGAGTTGCAAAGAAGTTATGTGATGGGTTTTTCTGTGTATATGGCCTTCCTCAGCGCACTCCCTTGGATCAGGGCACAAATTTTGAGAGTGAGCTGCTGGCTGAGCTTTTGGAGCTGAGTGGTGTCAGTAAATCACACACCTCACCCTACCACCCAATGGGTAACGGGACTGCAGAGAGGTTCAATCGCACCCTGGGCAACATGTTGAGATCTCTTCCCCCACGTTCGAAGCACAAATGGCCTCAGATGATCCAGTCTCTGACTTTCGTTTACAACTGCACATTTCATGAGACCATTGGGTTTGTTTGGGAGGATTCCCAGGCTGCCTGTTGACCTTGTTTTTCGAAATGTTCTTCATGATGATGCCATTTGTGACTACCACTCTTACGTCAAATCGTTGGTTGAAGATCTGCTTTCTGCCATGCTAATGGCTGAGAAGAGCACCAGTGCAGAGCAGAAACATCAATGTGACCTGTACAACAAGAGAGCCAAGGGTCACCCTCTGTCAGTTGGAGATCAGGTCCTGGTGGCGAACAAGGGAGCCAGAGGAAAGCGGAAGCTTTCTGATAAATGGGAGCCTGTGATGTACACAGTGGTTGCATCCAAACCTGCTCTCCACATTTATCGTTTTAGAGACTGTCATGGCAATGACAGTCTCTAAAAATCTCCTTCGTGATGTAAACTTTTTTCCTGTGGGAATGACCTTGGATGGCAATCTGAACCGCCACGCTGACAGTGTGGTTAGAGTTCCCTCGGTTTCTGATCTACATAGAACAGAATATTTTAGTGAGGCTTCTAGTGCTGTTCCTGTGGAGCCTTCCCTACCTGACTCCCTGTCCTGCAGTGATGGGGAGGACCATGCTGCTTCATGGGTTCAGGATGTGTCCTCAGCTCCATCAGTTGTAAATAGTGACCTGCCTCATGACTCTGAGAACTCCTCTGTGGAAACTGGAGTGCTGGCGACTGCTGGTTCCTTACCTCATCTTCCTGATGATGCTGGTTCCGTTCATCCTCCAGACAGTGTGGGAGGGGATGTTGTTCGCCGCCTAACTTCACACTTTGGGAGGGTTATCAAACCAGTTTGTTGCTTGATAGAGTCCATGGCTGTCATCGAGGCGCTTTATGACAAGGATAATGTTCAGCCTGTTATTGATGTGTGAGTTTCCAAATTCTTTTTGTATGATTCCTGCCATTGGCTAGGATTGTCTTTTTCTTGGTTTGCATTAGCTTCTGTACGATCTATATATTTATTCTGTATAGGGGGGGTGTAAAAGGCACCTCTTGTTGTCCATGGGATACCGTGAGATTTTGCTA